TAGAGATGCAAGAGCAATGAGGAACTGACTTTCTCTCTAACTAAAAGAAGAAGTAATCTAAAATCTCTATGAGAGCCGCTTCTCTATAAGAAACCAACATCTCATTTTGTAAGAGTCTTCAAGAGGCACCCTCAATGTTTCTCTTCATAAGAAGCTATCTTCTCTAAGAGGAAATTGCATCTCATGCACAAGAGACTTTGCCTCCCTCTCTCTCTAGATGAGCCACCATTCCTATATGGTGACTCAAATTAGGTACACAAATTCTCTATACTTTCATCCCATATGTATAAGATTAGAAGTCCACACTAAATAGGAAACTTCTATAGATGTTACATATATCTCAAAAGACCAAGAGATATATTCAAGAGTCCTAATCTTTTTTGGATTTCTACTTCTCTTAATAAACTTATCAAATATCAATATCAATCTCACATAATAAGGAAATATCTCAATGCCACATAATATGAGATTTCCTTATGAGGGTGATTTTGGATGGACCGAAGTCCAACAATCTCCACCTTGATATCAAAATCACTTGTTCACCATGCCAACATCCATTAGATAGCTTCATAAGTTCATCATCTTTTGCCAAATAATTTTATTCACCATTTTTGCTGAAAAATAATGTTTGCCATCAAATTTCTCTACCTCAAATTTTGCATTCGAAATTTTTACCGTCATACTGAAAACCCCAAACCAGGCTCTGATACCACTTATTGTGCGCAAAAGCTCTAAACCCGATAGTTTAATATTTGGCAAATAAAGTATGAGACATAAAACATGAAATACATAACTACAAGAACACAAGTTTTACATGGTTCACCTTAGAAGGGCTACATCCACGGGCACGACAAACTAAAATCCATTATACCAATGAAAGTTATATCAAAGATTTTGAAACAAACCTCGACAAAAACAGAGTCGAGCAAACCCTTTTAAACCACTCTCCCTTCTTTCTCTTTACTTTTGGCAACCATTACCAACAACACTAGATAGAGATGTGAGAGCAATGAGGAACTGACTTTCTCTCTAACTAAAAGGGGAAACGACCCAAAATCTCTATGAGAACCGCTTCTCTACAAAAAACCAGCGTCTAACTCTGCAGGAGTCTTCAGGAGGCACCATCAATATTTATCTTCATAGGAAGCTCTATTTTCTAAGAAGAAATTGCATCTTATGCATAGAAGACCATGCCTCCCTTTCTCTCTAGAGGAACTACCATTCTCATATGGTGACCCAAATTGGACACACAAATTCTCTGCACTTTCATTCAATATATATAAGATTAGAAGTCTACACTAAATATAAAACTTTTTATAGATGTTCCGTATATCTCAAAAGACCAAGAGATATCTCTAAGATTCTTAATCTTTTTTGAATTTTTATTTTTATTTCAATCCCACATAATATGAGATTTCCTTATGATGATGATTTTGGATAGCACCAAATCTAACATCATCCACAGCAAGGTCCCTTAAGGAACATGGCAATTATCCTCATGCTGATGCATCAATTTACCATGTCAATTTGCTAAAACATCTAACAGGCAGTCACGAAATGGATCCCATCACTGCGATGTCCTTTGCTTATTGGACACACCCACATTAACATATTTTGGCCTAGCACCTAGGTATATGATACACGAAGCACAATCAAAATGAATGAATAGCATCCATAACAAAAACCATAACTGCAAAGAATGCAAAAAAGAAACTTATAAATACCAAGTTGAGATTCTTGCAAACACTAAGGAGGTAGATTTGCCAACCCAAAAGATGGTCAATCACCAAGCACAATGAAATTACGATTACCCCACAAAATACCTGACAAAAAATTGCGCATTGAGAAAAACAATAAACACAACTTAACAACATCTGAAAAACGCTACCTTTCTGCTCCAGATCACCTTGTCATTTTCATGAATCTCAAGAACAAAACCCAAGCTACTGGGTCTTAACATCCTCTTTTTAAAGTTCGAACTAAGTTATTTTGTCATAGATTAATTAATGACTAATCATTGCTTATTTTTTGTTTCTTACTTGCACTTTTCGTGCATTTTATGATTTATCTTCAGTTCTATATAACATGTATTTGTTGGGTGAGTGTGGCCATTAAAGACCTATGAGTGCTTGTAAAAGAATTATATAGTGGAACATAAACTCAGTGGGAGATGTTTGCTGATACTGGACTGTGCTTAACATGCTAGGTCAATCTGGTTGGGAAAAACCCATGTTACTTGGGCATAAAGAAACAAACCGATGACGGTTAAATGGGTTATCCCTTGATGAAGTCGGAGTATTCCCAGAAGAGTGAGTCGGGGGATTGTGTGACTCTTGTGTGTAATGAAGGACTTTAGAGACGGGGCCAATGCCTCATCATTTGTTCCATCACACGGCATGCACATTGATAGCCATTTTTGGGAAAGTAAACCACATTTCACGGTGAAACATGTATATGTGTAAGAGATACCCCATGTGCACCATCAAGCAATGGATTGCATCAGGTCAATATGACATTAGTTTCGTCGCCAAAAGGGGACCTGAAATCCATACATTGGGACTACGACCCTTTACCTATTGGCTAGATTTTGGTGGCCCACTAATGATCCCTTGCATGGACTGTGGGTCATGGGCAACGCTAGGTTGGTTTGAGAAAGCATGTGTACTTCGTAGTTTGCAGTTGGACATGGAGTGCCCTAATGGATATTTACTCTAGACCATATGGATCATTTTTCCACTAAAGTATATAATTTAGTTTATTTTAATAATATATCATTTTTAGAATTGTTATTTGAACTTTTTTGAATCTCTGAATATTTTATTTATCAAATTTGGATTTACAAAAAACATATATATTCATTTTATAATAATTTTAAATATTCTAATAATGATTTTATATTTTTCTAAAAATAAATAATAATATAATTGCATGGGAGGTCTAATAGGACTTTTGAGCCCACCATAGCAAATTGGGTGGGGCCTATTATGTGCCACAATGGGTGGCACGCCCCACCTAGGACACTTTCTATTTTTTGTAATCAAGCTCTAAAGCTTGAGCGATAAGTTTATATTGTTTTAAGAAAAAATAAGCTTTGAAGAAATTTTGAATGATATTTTGATATGTATGAGAAGGCTTATGTATAAAATAAGAAAGGATAGTATTATCATATATTAAATTTTATTTAAATTAATTGATGAGAAAATGGTTTAGGAAGTGAGGGATAATGGTTCTAGCACTTGAATAAATATGAATGTAAATCAAATAGGAGTGTTATTTACATGTACATATATGTAAACACATACTATGATGTGGATTGATCAATATCAATCCCATATTTTGATAAATGGATAGTACGGTAGAAAGATTCATATAGCTCTTTTTACTGTACTATCTTCGCTATCCATATTCCACTGATTCAATGTAATCCATTCATTGAAGACTTTCTGGTCGATATATGGAATAGAGAGCTTATATCTTTCACCCCACAAGTCACCCAAGATCAATGCTGCATATTCAATCTCACATAAGTGGCAAGCTTAAGTAAAATATTAGAAAACCCTAAATTTGTTCAAGCACTATAAAAAGGTGAATACCATACCTAAATCTCTACACCATATCTCTTACACCTAAAATCTCTCTTCTCTCTCCCATATACAATAAGAGAGACATACCCCTAGTAGAGGAATTCTTTGTGTCTCTCTTACGAAAATTAGGAGGCACACCCCACCAAGAAATAAACTTTTCTCTCATCTTGGAAACTCTCTCTCCTCCCAAAAAAAACCCTAAAGGGGCAAGCCTCACTCTATCTCTCTCATAGTTGCTCTCTTGTCTCCCATCATCTCTCATCTCACAATAGGGCTCAGTATATAAGGTGTGGTAGAAAGAGAAAAGTATATAGGGTGTGAAAGAAAGAGAAGCATCTCTCTCAAACTAGGTTATCAAGGACGGTTCACCTAACTATTGAATTTATGATCAAAGAAGTTCGTGTTCCATTATTGTGTCTTGTCTAAACGTGTTTTTCCGGTTGAGATTGAAAGTTGACCATTAGATCCCACGCCATCAAAAGGTGGTGACTCAGTGTGGGATATAAGAAGCCCAGTTGAGGTACTGTCCGACACCTTCTTTTGTTTCTTGCTTATTTGTTTATTGTTTTCTTCATTCCCAAGCCTAGGTTGCATCTTTTTTTTATTAATGAAAATCATTATTTTGAATGGCTTCAAGTTTTTGAGATCTTATTGTATTCTTTTATTTTATTTTATTTGAAGTTATTATATTGTAAAAGGACTACTTATGAGTGATATAAGCCGTGAAAAAAAGAAAAATAATTGAAAAAAAGAAAAGAAAAAAAGTATTATATACTCCGACCAGATCACATGAGTCCTTCTTTCAATATTGTGATATATTAAGAAGACCGAGTTGAATTCAAGTCCCAAACTTCGTAACCTTTATTGTGGAGTTCAGAATGTCTAGTACAATTAAGTTTTTTAATTCATTTCAAGTAATAAAGAAGATTTTGGTTATTTATAGACTTTAAATCTTGAATAAGACTCATGAATTATTCACGTGACTACCATTTCTTTTCTCCTCTTTCCGTACACAATATTCTCTAAAAGGGACCCAAGCACTTCAGTTATCTTCAATACCTCACCTCCATTGCCAACAGAAACTTGCTTAGTATAGAAGAATGACAAATATCTAGAAAATTAAAATAAATACGTCACAGTTTTATGAATATGTAACATCGTCATACATGGTGTAACCTAATACTTTCTGAAATTTATTTCAGAATGTGAGAGAGATAATGAACTGAAGATAAGACACCCATGATCTCATTCCTGCAATATCTTAGTATCTCAGTATATCTACATGGCCTCATTGTATACCTAATTTTCTCTTTGGTCCTTTTTCTTTTTCATTATACCATTGCTTCAAATCACATTTTTATGAAATTCTTTTCTAGAAATCCATATACATGTCTATGTGTGTGTTCAAACTCACTGTTGAACAAGGATGAATTTTTTCTTCCGAATGCATGAAAAGTTACTTACATAAAAGCAAATTATTTTTACAACTTTTAAGTCAGCCTAATTGCAAATGAAGGCCATTCGATTATGTAACAGGGAATATGTACTTGCTATGCCAGAATACAAGACAAAAGACAACGAAAGGCGTATAGTTTCCATGACGCACACAGTTATTTATCCAGATAATGTGATGGTCCTGTATGCAACATGTCACGGTTATAGATAAATGAAAAATTTTATTAAGAGAAATGGAAAGGAAGAGGTACCCAATAAAATATTCTACATAGCCTATCCAGAAATCTACATAAATTTTTAAAACTAGAATGACTAATCTCATGAAAAGAAATGGGAAAAATTCTGGAAATATAAAAATGTCAGACCATTCTCAGCACAAACGTCTTAATAAAAAGGAAAAATTGCATATACAACCCTAATTTCTCATATTATTTCATGATAGACCCTTTTTCCGTTTTTCTTTCGAGCGGCATATAAAAATCTTTAAGGATTTCACTGTACCCCCTCATCTCTTATCTCTCTTTTTTATTAACTTTTGAACATAAAAATTAGCTCCAAAAAATCGTTTTATACCATTTTATCCCAAGAACTTTTTTAACCCTCTTTTTCTCTTTCCATCCATTAACAAAATTTTTGGGTTGAAATGGTATAAAAAGATTTGTTGGACCTAATTTTATGATCAAAAGTTAATTAAAAAAAGAGATAAGATATGAGGGGCGATGGTGAAATCTTTAGAAGTTTTCTTATGCCGCTTGAAAGAAAAACGGAAAGAAAGTCTACCATGAAATAATATGAGAAATTAGGATTCTATACGAAATATTCCCTAATAAAAATCCATTTTTATTAAGACAAAGGGAAAGGAAGACGCACATAATAAAAAATTATATAGAAAAATATTCTATAGAACTAGAGTAACCAATCTCAAGAAAAGAAATCAGAAATATCCGGAAATATAAAGATGTCACAGACCATTCCCAGCGCACACCTCCTGCAGTGGTTGCATCATTTCTCACAATACCTTTTATGTGTACCCTGTCGACATTAAGTGTAAATTTCAGCCTTGGACGTGCATAAAATCTCAGAAGTACGATAGAAAAAAAGGCTCCAGTGATGTAAAAATGGACTACCATACATCAAAACATATTATTTAAAGCTTAAAAACATGATACAAGAGTGATTGAGGATCACTATACAAGAAAAAGATCCATCTAGATTAGGAGAACTGAGAGTCTGAGCTAATTGATTAAATCACAGACCATGGCTAAATACGTGAAGTTCCAAGTCATTCAGTAGTCCATTCATATGATATTTTCAGCAGGAAATTCGTGATATGGTACAAGTTCAACCATTCAAGCTGAATGAAATCTCTGTGATTTCTTTGAGGGCTGCTTTTCACAGGGAAGCCCACCTGTGCAAGAGTGTTAGGTAAGTAGGAATTAACCCAAATTTGAAGGACATTAAGATATGGAATGTGCTGCAACCTTAGAATTGAAAGAACGTTTACGGCATGCTCCTGCAGGAGCACATGTAAACTTACTTCTCCATGCGAAAGAGTTACTTAGGACGACTACTTCGATCTGAAATTTTGGGATCCCCAATATTTTTGAGATCCTTTTTCCTTTTTAAGGTCCTTTTTCCTTTTTAAGGTCGGTCAGAGTGTCCAAAAAACGCAGGGGCCCGCCTAGGCATTTTCGTGCCTGGCTGCCGCTCGCCTAGGCGCTTGATTAGGAAGAGGGTATTCTCACAATCCTCACAAAAATTGAATCCCCTCCTCGCAAAAAAAATCAATCTTCTACCTACGGACATAAATACACCGTAAATGAACAAAAAAGTTAAAAAAAAAACACATGATTCACAACATAATATATTATAGCAAAATAAAATCAAAACCCTCTTTCAAATATGATAATACTTTAAAAATATCAAAATCCAATTGATGTCAGTACAAACCTCATATATTGGATCGCCAAATATCCATAAAATCAACTACTTTAAGCTCCAAATGCACCTACTAACTATTGTCTTTGTTTTGAGAAGAAATAAAAAAAAAAAAAAAATTATCGATCTTTCGATAAATCTCGAAAGAGTGGTTTTTAAGGAGTTTTCTCACTCTCCCAAAAAATCATGGTTTTTGTTTTGGGGGTTTAGAATATCCCCCAAAACCCTTTTCCCCAATTTTTATGGGGAAAAAATTATATTTTTTGACTTCACCAAAACCCATTTTCTGGCCTTTCGCAACTTGTCACGAGGCAGCGCCTAGACTATAGAACCTAGGTGGCGCCTTGCCCGCCTAGTCGGGCATCTAGACGCAGGATGCCTAATGACCCTGACTTGTCATTGCCTAGTCATTTTTTGAATTTTTCCGCCTGGAGAGTCGGGCGGGCGAATTTTCGAACATTGGTTGGTCACTAGGTTGAAGAGGTCATATCCAAAAATCTTAGTCCTATAAATACTCCCAGATTGGGCTTTAATCTAGGAAGTGAACGGAGAAAATGTTCCTAAGGGAATCTTTTGACCGTAGAAAAAAGGAAATGTTCATTCTTTATACAAGGGAAAGAGAATGAGACCACTGCACGAATCACCTATGGCAATGGAAGTGGAATACCCGATCTTCCTTTCATGCGGAGGGAGAATGAGGTGCCCCATCTTCATTGAGACAAAGGCTTAATATGCAAGTATGCGAACCAAATCCCACAAACAGGACAGGGGTGGTAAGTTCAAGGCAACCTAGTATTCATAGAGTGTTTTTTTGTTTCTTCAGTAATTATTGTGATACTTTTCAAGTTGCTATTTCTGGAGATCGAGAGAAATCATTTAAAATTTTATATTAAAAAAGGAACCTCCAAAAAATTCATAAAAATGAAAAGAAAATGGCCCTCGAAGGAGAAGCTGCTTAATGTGAACATGCACATGCAGAATTGTGGTTCACTTAAAGAGGGCCACCACCTGAACCAGAGAGATGATATCACAATGGATGATGCAACTGATCATGACATGCATGAAGGAAAAGAGAAAAATGAGTGCAGGTCCACATGTTTCATTAGGACAAAATATATCGCCCATCAATGCAGAAGGATTTTTCTCAAACAAATATGCCAAGGTGGCATGTGACATGAGAACCTTTACTGATATTATCCTATCTTTCTACATGGGATGATCTTTTTTTTTTGGTGGGGGAGCAAGGGTAATGATTTCTACAAGTGGCGATCAATAAGAGGATTTCCTATGACCTCATCTCTCATGTTTTGAGTTAGCCCCCCCTTACTAGGTGTAAGCCCTCTCCACTACAATGCGCCAATAGTGGGCACTAATTGTGCTGGCCAGAAGCGCTTCATCCTCATTTCAAACTGGGACGGACTTCTTAATATTATCTTGAAGCAAAAAGGCATGTCATTCACAATTCACCTAATTCATTTTAATGATGGGAGGTTTCTACTTTTTTCTTGAATCTACTTTTTGATAGCCTCTGGTCTTTAATTGCTTCAGTTTCTGTTGCAATTAGTTGTAGAAATACATTCTATGCAGAACCGACTGCTGACAAAAACAGAAGGGAATGGATGGGGAGAAAGACAGATCCAAGAACAGTACTTTTAGCTCTCTAATTTATCAAGTACATATTTGTACTTCATGCTTACAGATCTTTAAATCGGGCGTCACTTGCAAGTCACAGTCACTAAGCCCGTGTGAGCTCAGGTGTATGGTACGATATTGGTATATATTGGTGCTCCTAGATCAAAGGCTGCATCTTGGCCTATTTCTCAGTTTCATAAATTGCGGTCCTATGGCTACATCTTGGCAAGGGGAACTGTGGTCATCCTCTTTGTTTGCTATTATGTCTGAAACTTTCAGCTGCTCCATTGAAAATTCTGTATGCCAAACGGCTTTTCAAAGGGTTCAAATCCTTTATAAATGGCCCCTTCGGTGAAACCTGTCTTTTGTGATTCCAATCCACAGCAATTTGGGACAGATTTCAGTCGCGGCACACTAGATCAACGTAATGACGTGGAACCGATGAACTATCAAGCACAAACAAAAATGAGCAGAGAGATCGAATCAGGGAGAAATCTGAAAAAAGATTGGCATCATGAAAGTGCTGATTCCTCCCATTTGGCTGGAACATATCCTTAATAAAGGTGACATTATCGAGTATCCTGATCTTCCATATGTTGTTATTTCACATGACAGTGTTTATGGTCAGAAAATTGTAGTGTCTAACGACACATTTCCACTGAGCGGCCTGAAATGCAAATTTTACTTGGCCAGTCAAAGAAAAGGTGGTTTGAGTATGAGGCACCTCAAAGTGACAAAAATTACACTGGAGATGGTTGTGATGGTTTGCTTGCCACTAAGACCATCTCTGGTGCCCAATTATCTAGCATCAATATTAGCCATGCAAAATATTATTGGCTTTGCAGTAAAAAGTGGGGAGTGGATCACGTTTCAGACACCTTTGGATAGGCTCGTTGAACTCAACTTTCCGAGCTATTCTGAGTAGCCACTGGCCAGGGTTCCTGGTTGCTAAATTCTTTGAAAGACGGTGGTAAACAGGTCAAAATCCCTTGTTTCAATGCAGTCTCAATGACAGGCTCTTCTAAAACTGATGAAGCTCTAAAATCTTGCTTTATTGTCGGATGTGGTGCCAACAGAAAGTATGGACCCCATCAACATCAAGCACCATTTCAGTCAACTCTTTCTAGACCATCTTAACCCCCCCAAAACCAGACCCCACCACTGCGCACATTGTGAGGACCATACCAGCCCAAAGTGACCTCAGTCCCCAAATTCCACAAGCACACATGGTGAATGGAGCGAGGCAAACATACAAGGCACTCAAAAAGTACAGAAAAGGGCCATAACTTACTCTTATTAGCTCCATAAGCTTGGTCTTCTGCAACCATAGATGTCCCTCAAGGTTCCAGGCAAGGCGTTATATAGCAATAAGTATGTACCCATATACCTTTTAGTTACACAGCCATTAAGGCCTGTACCACTATCACTGCTCAATAGTTACATCGAAAAGGCTTTATTCGCTTTGTGGTAAGCACTGGGGAGTGGTTCAAGTTTTGGAAACACCTTTGAATATGCCGCTTGAACTTACCTTTCTGAGCTATTCTGCAAAGCCACTGACCAGGCTCTCTGGTTGCTAGATTGTTTGAAAGAAAGGGTTGTAACTGGGTCAAAACCCCTCTGTCTCAATGCAGTCACAATAACAAAGAGGCTTCAGATCTTTCAGCACTGATGGATGAAGAAAACTTTAGAGAGAGAAAGGAACTTTTTCTGAAAAATAATTGTACCCACACACAAATGTTGTGGTGGTGCTTTCATGGTATATATAATGGTAATACAATGATGTAATATACACTTTCCTATCTTGTTACATTCTCCTCTCAAAAGGAAAGTGCAATACACATTTTCTTATCTTGTTACAAGTTTCTATTACTGCCCCTCAAACTCGGCTGGGGAGGCATCTGAAACCCGAGTTTGAAACAAAGATCTCGAAAAACATCTCGTGGTAAAGGCTTGGTGAAGATATCAACTACTTAATTGCAAGAGGAAACAAAACGAGGGAATAGCAATCCAAGAGCAACCTTTTCACGTACAAAATGATAATCTAACTCAATGTGCCTTGTCCGTGCATGAAAAACGGGATTTAATTGTCATGTAGAGAGCACTAATATTGTCACAAAAAAGTGTTAGTGGCTGACAAAGTGGTAACCCTATGTCTCGAAGAATAAAAGAAAGCCATGTCAATTCTGTAGCAGTGGATGCCATAGATCGGTATTCCGCTTCGGCACTGGAACGAGCCATAGTCAATTGTTTTTTAGCACTCCAAGATATGCAGCTGAAACTAAGATAGGTGCAGAAACCAGTGGTGGAATGATGACTGGTTGGACATCGAGCCCACTCTGTATCAAAGAAGGCATATAACTCAAGGGAACTAGCAGATAAGATTCTTATTCCACAGGATTGTGTACCATTGAGATAACGAAGAATCCACTTAACTGCCTGAAAATGTGCAATAGTAGGGGCATGCATAAATTGACACACTGTATTAACACTATGGGAAAGGTCTGGTCGTGTTATGGTAATGTATTGGAGTGCCCCAACAATGCTCTGATAAAGAGATAGATCGGGAAATGGATAAGAATTCCCATGAATATTATTCTTCATTGCCATTGGTATTGAAACATGTTTGGAACCACGCATCTGAGCATGATCAAGAAGGTCCCAGACATATTTGTTTTGTGATAGAAAAATCCCATCTAAAAACTAAGATACCTCTATGCCAAGAAAATAGTGAAGAGGTCCAAGATCTTTCATTGCAAATTCCCTTCCAAGTTGGGTAATGAACAATTCTTGAAGATCTGAATTATCACCAGTAACAGTAATATTATCAACATAAAGAATAAGGATAATAGTTCCTTGAGTAATGCGGGAAACAAATAGAGATTAATCAACTACATTGCAATAAAACCCCAATGATAATTAATAGGCACTGAATCAATCAAACCAGGCCCAAGGTGTTTGCTTGAGACCATATAAAAATATTTTTAATTTGCAGATATGATTTGGAATTTTGGATATTTTGAGCTCACAAATCCAAGAGGTTGTTTCATAAATACAGGTTCCTTAAGAAATCCATGCAAGAAAGCATTTTTCACATCAAGCTGTTTAATAGGCTAGTGTCACATAATAGCTATGGTGAGCACAATCTGAATACTAGTAGGCTTAATAATAGGACTGAATGTTTCAGAAAAATCAATTCCGGAAACCAGATTGTATCCGTTAACAACTA